TCAGTGCTTGATTACGTCAATAAACAGAAGATTAAAAAATACACAAAGATGAGGAAAACCCGCCTCTCACAGTGGCCAACTCTAGTTTCGAAAATGAAAGTATCGGTCCATGCTCTCATGAAGCCTCTCAGGGAGATTCAACACATATCAATGATGAGAACGCAGATGTCAGGCATTTTAAACAATATATAAACCAAAAAAAGAAAAGAAACGAAACGAAAAGTAACACGAACGAAGTGTTTTCAAAGATTGATGTGGTACACCGTTCAGCGTTCAAAACTAAAAGTCAATTTTCATTTCATTCAAAAAGAAGTTTTTTATTTATTTATTGAAAAACTTATCCGTTCGATTTGGACTTTTTAAAACATTAACCGGTTGTGTTATACAAACAGACTGAGTCAAATTTCTTCACTGGACTATCCTTGAATTACATAGATCCTATTTCTGTAGAACATCACAAACATAAAACAGTTGTGTTTTTTTTTTGCGATTGATTATAAATTATGTATAAAGAATTATTCGATCTTTTGTAGAGTTTTCTTGTAAACATATGAAAAATATTTACATTTTTATCAAAAACCATGCTTCTGGTGTCAATACAGTAAGGATGAAGAAAATATTTTGACGATTCAGCCTCAGGATACGTTCAGCGCATTGAGCGAAACGAACGCACTTGTTCTACTTGCGTGCGTATGAAAGAGCGTTAAAAACTGAGTATATTTTCAATCTCCTTGAACTAATCGGAAATTTCTTAGAAAGTATCATAATTAATGAAAAGTTTGGGTTTTCGCTAAGTTTCAGCAGTACGAACGATTCTTAAGCAAACGTTTCGAGGTAGAATTTAATCTGATTTTTTTCTGTGAGATTACGTATCACTTCGTACGTGAAAACAAACTTCAAGAACTATACATTTTAAAGTTATTCCATAACTTTAAGTTAGTACATTTTTTTTTTTGAGTTAGTACATTCTTCCATTCACAAATTATTGTAATCCTTTTATGTTAATTTTTCTAATTCATGTCCTGGTATGCTCACATCTGATTCTTGTTGATTAAATAAGTATCACATTTACATCAGCGTCTACTCTCCTTTAATTTCTACACCAAAAAAGTTAAATTATAAAACTGATTTTACTACGAGATTAATTAAGGAATCAGTTTTTAATACTGATATTATTATTGATGTACATATTTGCTAAGTATGTTCAAGGGTACCCTCCCCCTCCCCCTTTTTTGCAACAGTTGTCGTTTGGAGCTGTACATAGTCTAATGGAGGGGAAAGGCTCGGCTATAAAACGAAACCACTTCCAGCTCTCCATGGCCTTCCTTGAAAAAACTATGAAGTTTTTAAGTTTTTCCCTCAAAGCCTAGAAAATCTCAATTTTTTAGGTTCGTAAATGTTTCTCTCCTTTTCTATATATTCAAACTTTTTTCTTATAAATAGCATGATAGAAGAAAGTGTGCTCTTCAAAATAAGATCTTTTCCAGAATTTTCCGATGAGTTTTCTTAGAGATATAAGCATCGCTTCAAATGCCATGAAAAACAGTGCCCTGTGTACAATAAATGTTTTTCTCACTATGCGTTTTTTTAATAGTTCCTTCAACACATTAGGCACACATTACGACTCCTCGAAAAAATCGTCCGATCGAGCTCAAAATTTTACCACAGATACTTCAGACCCTATCTCACGCTCGTTTTTTTAAAAAACGTTTTCGACTTCAACTTTCAGGGTGAGAAGTCATTTTGTCATTTATGTTTTATAGGTAGAAATAACACAACAAACTAAAAATTCTGTTTATTACAAGGGTAACTGATACTATAAATTCGCCTAATTTAAAACTTATTTAATAATAAATATATATACTTAAATTTGACTCTTTTCTTAAGGAATTTCACAATTATGTGCACTGCTTACAATTATTTTAAATAATATAAAAAAATAGTAACGTATCGAGATAAGTGTAATATGGGCAAAATTTCTCTAAGTTTTAGCTAACGAGGTAACATTTGCAAGTGTGAAATCGCTTTTCTCACCAAACCTAGTGGATCATAGGTAATCGATGGTGTTGATTTCGAATAACAACATGAAATGGACTTCTGGATCTCCAGAGATCCGGTTTCTAAAAAACTTGTTTTCCGGACTCAAAACGTTTTTCCGCCAGAAAATTCTTTTGATCTGTCCGGATTGTAGAGCACGTCGATTTGTCGATAAAAATGTACTTTTCAAACTCTTAAAACCTTTGTATAGCAAGAAAAAGAAAAAAGAAAGGAACGCCAAAGATACATTATAGAGAAAAGGCAGTTTTTATCCTGTCTAACAACTTTAAACGAACACTCGAGTGCTTAATTGTACACTTGTGTAGAAGGAATAAAAAACAAAAATTGAATCCCTTCGGTTAATAACTTTCGGTGTGTGAGGCCCTTTCATCGGTTTCGACACGCTTTAGATTATGGAACGACGGACGTCTTTAATTTATTGGCTGAAGCGCGATTTAAAATATGTCACCTTTTTCTCGTCTTGTTCATTTAAACTCCAGTCTTTTCATAGTTCAGCCGGAACTCGTTGAGTCAAAAACCATGTCACAAGTCCAGAATAATTCTCTCTTTTTATCTTTTCAGATTGAAAAAACTAAGGAAAAAACACGACTTTCTCTATTATGTACCTTGGGCGTTCCTTTCTTTTTCCTTTTTCTGCTATACAGAGGTTTTAAAATTTTGAAAAATACATCTTTTTATGCTCTACAATCTGGACAGATCAAAAGAATTTTCTGGCGGAAAAAAGTTTTGAGTCCGGACAACAGGTTTTTTAGAAACCGGATCTCTGGAGACCTAGAAGCCCATTTCATACTGATATTCGAAATCAGCACCATCGATTCCGTATGATCCACTTCTCTTTCAAAAGAACGTCACTTTTCTTTCGTCGTTATGAAATACGTTTATTCACAAGGAGGACAAACGCACAAAAATCTAAAAATTATAAACGACGGAAAATAAATAGAGCTGCGAAAAATAGCGATTTTCTTTTCTTTTCTGTTTTCTTTTCTATTTCCTTTTCTTATTCACGTTATACACAGTGTGCGCACGTTGCAATGTACGGTACATATATAATCACATACATTAAGACTGTCGTCTGTGTAGAGTGGTGTCACGTTTCCTTCTTTTCCTTAGTCTGTACGAACGTTTTTCTGTTCTGACGCAGCGGATAAAATAAACATTTTAAATGTAAAATGAATTGACCAAAGTTTTAACATTTACATTTGTGGCTACAGGCCTGTTATTATGATAGCCAAAAGTTACGGTAGTCATTCACATTCTCTAGCACACGAGCAATATTAGTATTAGAACAACATTTAGTTTACACACACGTATAAATAATTTATTTCAGTAATGTTAGCTTTTAAATACGTAACGTATCGTGGATCATTGAAAAAGGTAAGAGTTTTGGTTGACAGAGAATCTATTTATAGTATGTAGGGTCGACAATCGCTCTGGTTCTTTAAGGCACATCAAGCATCTGCGTGGAAAGACGTGAAACGCTGAAATTTTGATTCCATTCAAATTATGACTATTCTATTATACGAATCAAACTGGTTATGAAAAATCTTTTTCGATTTAAAATCCTTTTCCCTCAGCGTTATAGAATTTTTGAACTAAGAATCTTCAAAAATCCGGAAAATGACATCATCTGCAATATTTTTCGTTTTTTGATATAAATTCAAGCATACTCTTCTGCAACGTGTCAATCGAAAGAGCAAAGATTTTCCGAACAAAAGTTTGTTTTCAAAAGTGTTTTACGGCTCCAGACGTCATTTTGATGAAGTTAGAAAATTTTTAAACACCTGGAGTATCCCTAAAGAAACGTCATCTTCAGTGCTTTCGGTGTTTTGAAGTCAACCTATAGCTCCGATAATTTCTAGTGATATCGCATACAAAAGAGCGCTTAAAACTGCATCGAATGATGTATTTGGTGTTCTAAGAAGTTTTAAACTAACTTTAAAAACTTAATTAAACCGTTAAATTTTTTTAGTAATGTCATCTTTTTAATGCCATGTCAGAACTGACCAAAGATTTGTATCTTCCCTCTGTAGAGCTCATGATTCTGCGCATGTTATACATTTACAGAATCTGAAGAGACCAGCACATGACGAAATTTGAGAAACAAATGTAGGGGGTAGGGAAAAAAACTGTAATAATTTCAAATCTACGCTGCAAGGACGTCTGTTTGAGGCAAAATTAATGAGATATTCGAAATCAGCATTAAAACTCAGTCGAAGAATGTATGTTTCAAAGATTTTTGAGTTTCAAACATTATTTTTGATTTTTGGATCTCAAAGTATACTACGGTATTAGAACAAAATATTTTGTTCGAAAAATCTTTGAGACGTACATCCTTCGACTCACGAGGACACATCACCATCTGCCCCACTCCGATTCTGATGATCTTTTGCCGACAGATACTATATAGTGTCCTAGTGTTAACCTTAAAAGGATTTGGTTGCATGACTCATTCAACAGTTATGAATCTATTAATTTCGCCTGTACAAGGGTGTCCATCAATATGCAGAACAAAACGCATCGGTTTTCCGAAAGAATAAAAATCTTATAACTCGGGAATGGAAAAAGATTGAAGACTGAAACCCTTTATAAATATTTTAAGCAACCAACTGTGCACCAGGAAAAATTTCAGCTCTCTACTACCGTTTCTGACTGAATATGAATTTTTAGAGAAGAGCCATGTAATCAAATCCTTTTAAGGTTAACACTATGATACTTTTGTCGGCAAAAGATCATCGAAATCGAAGGGAGGTGGCTAACGATGTGCCCTCGTCAGTTTTTAATGCTGATTTAGAATGCTAATGCATTAATTTTGCCTCAAACGGACGTCTTTACAGTGAACATTTGAAATTATTATCTCAATGTTGGGCATTTTTCTCCTATCCGTCACATTTATTTCGTAAATTTCGCCTCGTTGAGAAACTTAATTTATTTTGCGCAAAATCATGCGCTCTACAATAGTAACCTTAAAAATGTTTGGTAGGTTTTGAAGTGCCTGAGAAAACTTAAAATAAATGATTAATTTAACTGTTTTTAAATTTTTAAAAATTCTTGAAAGTTTATTTTTTTGAAATTCAGTTTTTAAAGTTCTTGGAGCACTTAAAACATCATTCAATTCAGTTATATTCACTCTTTTCAATAAGATGTTACTGGAAGTTGTCGGGACCAAGGTGACGTTGAAAAAATCGAAATTATTCGAGCTGACACTTCCTTACGAATTCTCTAGGTACTTTATTTGAAAAACTTTATAACCCGGTCATCGTGACCAGTTTCACGTGTAGAATCAAATGAGGTAATAAAAAGCATATCCGCCTGAAAATAAATGTTTTCACTTTTCAAGAAATTAGTGAGAGTAAGTCAAGTTTCCTATTTCCTATTTTGAAGTAAGTCCGTAAATTTCCTCTTCCTCGAAAAATTTGTGACGAAAACTCTGTTCCCACGAACTGTGTTTTTTATTCCGTTTTCAGTCATTTTTTTAAGTTTACTATGAATATAGAAATACTTTTTACAAAAGTAATATATGATACCGTTTGAAATTCTCTACCATCCTGTACTTCGCCGGTCTTGACTTGGAATTATTTGCTGACCAATATTTCGAATATTATTAATGTACCCACGTATTACATTCCCATAGATTACATCACATTCTTCTTCAACTAACTCTTCTTTTTTTTTACAGACCACGAGAAAGAGCATATTCGAAGTACAAAAAGAACTCACTTCTTACTTTTGCAACACTTTTTTTCGAAAATAATAGCAGAAGAAAAAGATTCAAGTGGAAAAAAATACCAGATTTTTAAAGTTTTCATTTTTTTTGTCTTTCGTATAATCTGCGTAGTTTTCTCAATTGATGTTCTGAGATTAAAGTTTAGGTATGGTTTTGTAGAGTATTTCGACGCATCTTCTTTAAAAAAGCATTGACCTCTGGATCCTAAAGCAACACGAGAAAAATAGAAAATACTGAGAGACGCATCGTTACAATTTCTCCGAATGTGACTGGTTGGGAGCATTAACAATATTCAAAATTTTTGCCAGCAAATAATTTCTAATCCAGGCTGGGAAAGCAGAGACTAACCGAAAGTTTCAAGCGCTATCAAAATATAAAATACTTTTCGAAAAATATATTTCTATATAAATAATAAATTTAAAAAATCGACTGAAAACATTAATGTCCAGGCGGATATGTGGAATTTTTTTCATATTTTAATTTCTCTGACTATGCTCCTACACTCTCCCTTAGCGTCTCAATAGAAAGTTGTGCTCTTACTAGAAAACCCAATGATCTTGTTTCACATAGCATCAGAGGAAGTTTTCACTTTTTCTCTCGCGCGTTTTACTTTACTTAAGTTCACTGAACAATCAGTAAAACGTACACTTGTGAAATTTACAAGTGCAGTTGATATACGTCCATTGGATAAACTTATAACATCAAAGTACGTTAATTTACCACAACCGAAAAATAAATTCTTACAAACATATATTTGGATTGATGGTACTGGTGAACAACTGCGTTCAAAAACTAAAACTGTATCAGAACAAACCAATTCAGTTAAAGATGTATCATGGTGGTCATACGATGGTTCATCAACTGGACAAGCTGAAGGTGAAAATTCAGATATTTATTTAAAACCCGTAGCAATTTATCGTGATCCATTTATCTTGATGGGCGGAGTTAGTGATAATCCAGAAACAAATCAGAATAAATTGGTTTTATGTGAAACATTGGATACAGATATGAAACCATTAAGTGAGTAGTTCACGATATGCGCAACAAAAGTCCGAAGAAAATAGATTTTTCTTAGCTAAGACTTCGCTCTTGTGTTCGGTAACAAGCCGTTTGGTGTCAATCAGCGAGTCCTAGCTTGGGACTGTTGCATGCCTAACCCTTAGGTACCCTAGAATTATTCAAGAGCTGCGACTATAGGACCGCTAATATTTGACGATATCCAGCCTCTTTTTTTCGCATACAGTTGGATTCTGAGGAAACCATATGGCTTTGTAGAGTCGATAAGAGGAGACCATTCCCGAGCTCCTATGATCTTCAACTACGAAGTTCTGAAGGTTTGAAATTTGTATGTGTAGCACAGAATCCAAACTTCTAAATTAAAAAATGTTTTTTCTTCCGATAGAACGAGAAAGTTTTTTGAGCCAGTAATGCTACAAAATGAGACGTTTTCCAACGTTTCAGATCTAATTTTGATTGAACTATCACTTTCCTACGATAAGCACCATTTTTCTACTTCTTTCAGCATATAGTCATAGAATTTAAAACACTATCAGTTTATACGTTACGATCTCCTTAAAATTTTATCGGATTGAGCGAAAAGCTTTACCACATAACACATAAACTAGACAAAATGATGCGGATGTCTTTTTATTCTGTTTACTTTTTTGACTCTTCGTTACGGAGTTATAGCGTTTTTAACTTTGTAAACTGGATTTTTCTTTTCGCTGTAGCTTTTGAACGGAGCAATATTTTCAGAAAGAAAAAGAAACATCTGAGATATAGTCTATAGTACTTCTAAAAACATTTACAGCTCGATCGGATAAAATTTTGAGAGAGAAGGGATGGTAAGGTACTCAGGTTAAAAACAGCGTTTTCTCGATAACTCTAATAAAATGATGATAGATGTTATTAAATCTCCTGTTTTAATGGGAATAAGAAACTGTTGTCGCCAAATATCCTCTGACGATAAAACGTAGCATTAAAGTCAGAGAATTCGCTTTAAACTATGTTGTATTTTTGTCTATTAACAACAAAAAGTAATTTTGTTGCATGTAAAGACTGATCTCTATAGAAAAAGCACTTTCAAAATTTTCAATTTTTCGTCATTCGATTCACCATGATTAACTGATATTTTCGTAAGTTAAATTGAGATATGAAGTTAACAGATTGATCTGTCAGATCATTGGGTATAGTGGACAACAGTCGAGAGAACTCGAAAGTAGAGTAATCTTAATATCCATTTTTGTATCCTAAAAGTAACTTTAGTAGCGTTTATGGTACAGAATAGCTAGTCAAATAGGCAAGGTTTCGTTCGTTTACAAAAAACAATTTTCGGAGTTTTTCGGGGTCGGGGTTAAGAAATTTTGACTATACGGGCTCTAGTTGCATAAGAGACCCTAAGAAAAGGAAAAGGAAATTCTGTTAAGGGCACTCAGAAATCTATTTTTGTCGGAGAACAGCGGATCTTGATATAATTTTCGTAGAATGTGAGTCTTATCGTAGAAGGATAACACTAAAAATTTGAGCTCGAAATATTGAGTTTTCCAAAAGTTATTTTTAAGTTGAGGGTAAAACAGTAGTTATCCATGCCTCAAAGACTTTTCGGTCGATGTAAATAATAGAAAGCTTGAGAGCATTTTAAAATGTAGCCGTGACTTGCCGCTACAATTTTTTTTTGTTGTCGTTTTTCTGTTCATTTTTTTCGTGAGTTTCCTTTACAAAAGTTGAAAAAATTGCGCTCGACTTTTCGGAAAACTGCATTTTTCTCAAAAACTAACTAAGATTCAAAAATCCGGCTCTGTTAAGTGTTGCGCTAAGTTTTAGCTTCAATCTAAAACGTTCCAGTGCTTTCTAGCATTTGTAATGACCGAGAAATCTTCTGACGTATAAACAAACGAACCCATGTCGAGAAAAACGGAAAATAAGTTTTGATTTTCGAATCAACACCTTTTTTTTCTTCATGAAGCGGTATAGGAAAAAAGTAAGAGTAGCTCGTCAGAGATGATCGACTATGACGAATCGAATGAACACATGTATAGGTGTTTGCGACATATTTTTTCAATAACTGAACTTTTTGGAAAAAATCAATTTTTCTCATTTTAAGTGTTTCAGGAAATCTTCTGTAAAACTCTCTAAAAACCATCGTAAAAACAAGAAATGGTAGTGCATTCGAAAGTAGACACTTTGGGCTATACAGCCATTTACAAATCTCAAAATCGGGATCTCTGACGAAAATCACCGTGACGAAAATCCTTAAAGAGCGTACCTTCGACATGAAGTTGAGTTTTTTTTGACTGTTCAGTGCTCCACCATGCGTGATTCACTTTCAAACTGAATTTTGGCTCACATGCATAAACCTTTCTAGATGCATGGACATTGTATCTGTCAAATTCCATTATAGAATGTTAAAAGCGATTTTCATACTACTTTCCTTTGCTTTTTTGTTAAGAAACAAATTGGCGTTCGGATTGTGAAAAAACACTAAAATCTGTTGCTGATCAAAAACCAACATTTGGCTTTGAACAAGAATATACATTGCTAGATCGTGATGGATGGCCATTTGGATGGCCGAAAATGGCATTTCCCGGAAGCCAAGGTATATTGAGTTTTACAAAACTTTGGTAAACTTACGGTTAAAAATGTTTTCAAAATTTTTTGTTTAAGGTCCCTATTACTGTAGCGTTGGTGCATGTCAAGCTTACGCACGAGATTTAGTTGATAGTCATTATCGCGCATGCCTCTATGCCGGTCTGGATATTGCCGGTATAAATGCTGAAGTTATGCCATCATCATGGGAATATCAAATTGGCCCGACGATTGGTATTGACGCTGCGGATCAGTTATGGATTAGTCGTTATATTCTACATCGAATTGGTGAAGAATATGGTATACAAATTAGTCTCGATCCAAAACCAGTTGAGGTTGGTGATTGGAATGGCGCTGGATGCCATGTTAATTTTAATGTAGAAGAGATGAAGAAGAAGGGCGAAGGTTTAAAGTAAGTTAAAAGTTGATATAACGAAAAATGTTTAGAAAACGGTTATAGCAGTTTTAAGCAATGGATAGAATTTCGGGACGTACAAGTCTCACGGTGCAAATAGTCGGCTTAGATCGATGATTGTTAAGGAGTTTTTGAAAGGACTAGTGGGATACGGTCATTTTCTCGTTCCCAATGTTTTGAAAAAAACAATTACATATTCGAAATCAGCATCGAGTTTCGCACACGATGCCGTATTTGATTTACTGGAAAAACTGGACTTTATGTAGAGGTAACGTTAGCCGCGTAATCGAATAAATGGCGTTCTAGCACTGGTCCTCTGGAAGCATTCTACATAAATAGAGTTATTCAGTAGCTTACCAAGAAGGTTCCAAATGGTTATCCTCGTTGTTCATCGACTTTAAGGTGAAAAATCCTGAAAAGCCACATGCTCAATTTATTATTTTTATTGCCATACACGAAGAAAGAAATGCCAATACGAAAATGGTACAGAATATACAATTTTGAAAGCTCTGTCGAATGAAAGTATCTAAGGCTGGAAAAAAGTTGACGTTTCTTGTAAAACTCTGTTTTTGAGCTGAAGGATTTCTAGAAAATGCATGAAAAATGCAGAGCTGCGCAAATCAGAGGTTTACAAGTCACAAGTCAAGTCAAGTCACTAAAAAACTCCACAGCTATTGCAATAAAGTTTTATATCTCATTTTGTAGGATATTGTTTGCTCTAGATGTAAGCAAGATTTTTCTCAAGCTTTTTTGGAATTCAACAAAGAAAAATAAATTTTAGTCGAGAAATTTCACTTTCAAATATTGAAAGTTTTTACTTCTTCAGGTCTTTTCAAAAGTAATTTTAGTCTCTAAAAAATCAAAACTAGCTGGTTTTTTTGCGGTTTTATCTGCTCTTTTAAATGAGGTAGTATTTGAAAGAACGAATAAAGTTTGACGATAAAAAATTAACAAAACTGGCATATCGACAGGGCCAGCTAACGGTGACCCTTCAGATCAGAAGATTCGAATTTTTATTTTTACGCGAACAAAGCTTACAAATGTATCATTAGACGCAGTCTTTTACGCTGATTACAAATTTGAACTCAAAAGGCAAATTAAAGTTAAATTTTCAGAATAAAAAATTAAATTTAAAAACTTTTAAATTTTAAATTTAATTTGTTGACCTAGATACTTTTTTCAAAAATTCTACAAATTATACCATCGGATAGAGAATCGAATTCTCTACCAAATGCCTCATTTTCTTTCATGTTTGGATGCCAAAATTTTTTTGATTTTCTAAAAAGAGTTTCGGCGCTAATTTTGCGAATAATTTTCTACCCATTTAATCTAACTCTGAAACTTTATTTTGGACTGCATCGGATATAGGGCACCTCAAACTATCTATCTATCTGCACCTCTTTCAGAAATTGAGCAAAAATGACATATATGTCATCCTGAAAGACCTTCTACTAAAAAAATTCATAACTCACTCATAAAGTATAGGATCGCTGAAGCTAAAAACTGGGATTTTCTAGTTTTAAATATGTAGAATATAATGAGCACAGTTTCAGAAAAAAAAATTCTTTTTCTCATAGCATCATGGTCGTTTTACTCGCGAATTCTCTCTTAAATACGGTTACATTTTCGTTTTAGAGCTATAGAGAAAGCTATTGAAAAATTATCAAAACGTCAGCGTACACATATGCGTCATTATGATCCAGCATTTGGCAAAGATAATAAACGTCGTCTGACCGGTGAACATGAAACTGCATCGTACAAGGAATTTTCATCGGATACAGCTTCACGTGCAGTTAGTATACGTATACCGCGACAAGTAGCTGATAATCAATGTGGATATTTCGAAGATCGTCGTCCAGCTGCAAATTGTGATCCATATCAAGTTACAAATATTCTAGTTAAAACTGTTTGTTTAAATGAAACAGGCGATGATGACGATGGTAAAGATAATAAACACGGAAAAAAATAATTTGGAAAAAACACTTTTATTATCTATTTAATAGAGCCTGCATCAGAACGTCGAGTATTGCCATTAAGTGAAATTTTTTGACCTATACTTTTTATTACATATTCGGATTCAATACATCAAACTGTGGTTATGAAAAAATTTTTTGGGAGTTCTGCCCAAATTTGACCGAGTTATGGGCATCTTAATCGGAGCGAGTCAAGGAAACCCTCAAAAAGTGACCTTTTTGATAAGTCGCTCATAACTTCGTCACATTTTGTCCATTCTTTTCGAGCAACATCTCATATGAAAGAGCATCTAAAACTGCATCAGAACGCGTACTTATAACTGAGTTATCTTCAAAAGTGAATTTTTAAAAACAACATCTCTGAAAAAAACGTCTGTTCAAAA